CTTGTGCACAAGTGTTTCACAAGTGCTTGGGAGAGCAGGTCGGGGGATCCCAGGGAGTTTTCCGATGCCTTGGAGTGGGTGGGGGAGGCTTCTGGAGGTTTTGCGCATGGGTGCGTGCCCAAATATTTGTTTTCTTCAAGAGGCCTGTCAGGCAATGGGGTTGCTGGAGGGCACGGGTGGTGGTCTAGTGGCCCTGACCTACCCTCTCCCCTCCCTACCCCCAGGGAAGCTGACGGCCGAGCAGATCCGGGCTGGATACCTCTCGCTGCAGAAGGTGGAGGCGTGTCTGCAAGAGGGAAGCGCTGGCCAGGCCCTGCTGGACGCCTGCAATGAATTTTACACCCGCATCCCGCACGACTTTGGGTCAGGGCCCCCCACAGGCCCCTACCCCACTGACTGGCTCTATCCCCTGGCCTCTCTGCCAGCCCCGTGGGGTGGGGGGACTGTCTTGGCAGCACTGGGGTCTCCTTTCTCCTTGCCAGGTTCAAGGCCCCCTCCTCTTCTCATTCTCTTGGCGAGTGTTATGGCTCTTGCCCCGGGGTACCCGCAAATGAGTTTCAAGGCCTTCCTCGCCCCGACCCTGGATCTGTGCTGTGTTTTCCTCCTTGCTCTGTTTTCTATCCCCACGGCTTTGTCCAGGGCAGGTAGTGATGAGGGGGCTGTGTACGTGATGCACCCCCTTCCCCAGCTTGCTCACTCTTGGTGTCCTGCCCCTTCAGGCTGCGAACACCCCCAATGATCCGGACAAAGCAGGAGCTGCAGGAAAAGATGCAGCTGCTGGAGGTAAGGAGGCTGTTAGGTGTGTGCGTATGCACATGAGAGAGAGATGCCTTCTAATCCTGTCTCTTCCCCCACCCCAGGCCTTGGGCGAGATTGAAATCGCTATCAAACTGGTGCGCTCAGAGAGGCAGGACCACGAGCACCCGCTGGACCAGCACTACCGCAGACTGGGCTGCGAGTTGTGTGCCCTGGACAGGGACACCCACGATTTCCAGGTGGGCAGGTCAGGCTGTGGGAGAGGGCACCTGGGCTGCAGGTCCCTGGGGCAGGGGTTAGCAGCTTGGGCTCTGTGGCTCACTGCCCATCCATCCCCTTTTGTGCTTTCTCCAGGTGCTGGAGCAGTACCTGCTGACCACCCATGCACCCACCCACCGCGACTACTCCATGGAGCTGCTGGAGGCCTTTGCCCTGCGCCGCCCGTCTGAGGAGACGGCTTTCCGTGCTGACCTTCCCAACAGGTCAGGGGGGTGCTGCTGGGTGCAAGGGAGGGATCACTGGTATCCCAGCCTGTTGGGCAGGGAGGTGGAATAGGGCTCACCTCTTCTACTGCTTTCTACCCCCTGGCAGGGTGTTGCTGTGGCACGGCTCCCGGCTGGGCAACTGGATGGGCATCCTGAGCCAGGGGCTGCGGATCGCACCCCCGGAGGCTCCTGTGACTGGCTATATGGTGAGTGATGCCCGACCTGCTCCAGCCAGCCTGCCCTGCCCCTGGGACCAGATCCCCTGAGCCCCATTGACCCTCAACCTCTCGCCCTCCAGTATCTCATTCTCTAATCCTTCCCTTTCCTTACTTGATCTGTGGAGCCCTCAGTCCTGGTGTCCCTGCCTTGGACCCTGCTCCACTTCTGGTTTCCCCCCATCCATATGTTCCTCTAGAGCCCCCCGGTCTCAGTATCCCCACCGCCCTGCGTTTCTCACTGCACCCAGCCCTGGTCTCTCTCTGTCTCTCATCTTCCTTCAGTTCGGGAGAGGCATCTACTTTGCTGACATGTCCTCCAAGAGTGCCAACTACTGCTTTGCTTCCCGTCAGAAGGATGTGGGGCTCCTGCTGCTGTCAGAGGTGACAACTGGGGAACAATGAGCTGATGTTTCAGCCTCAAAGGCAGGGAATGGTTCACAGGGTCTGTGCCTGGGCAGTGAAGCTCTCCTCTGCTTCAGAGCCAGCTGTATTGCAGGGAGCAATCCCAGCTCTGGGGGTGACTGTGTCACAGCTTGGGACTCTCAGGTGCTATCCCAGCTCTGGGAGGGGAGAGGAGTCCAGTGCAGTAGAGCAGGAGGGAACTGGGATTCTTCCTGCTTTCTGTCTCAGCTCCGGGAGGGGAAGGAGCTGGAAGCCAGGACACCCAGCTTCTATCCTTGGCTCTGAAGGGAGGTTGGTCTCCTGTCACAGGTGGCCTTGGGTGAGTGCAACGAGCTGTTGGAGGCTAATGCTGATGCCCAGAAGCTCTTGAACGGGAAGCACAGCACCAAGGGGATGGGGAAGATGGCTCCTGCTAACCGCACCAAGCTGTGAGTATCCCCTGCTTGAGGAACAAAGCTGCTCCCCCTGACCCCCATCTGCCAAGAGGAGGGGGGGCGGGGGGCAGGGGTGGAGAAATCCTCTCCCCTTGCCATGACAAAAGCAGGGAAAGTTGCATCCAGAAGCTGCTCTGGGATTGTGGACTCCATGGGGCAGAGACAGTTTGGCTGCCTGTCCGGGGGCTGTCCCACCCTAGGCTTGGGGGACTTGTGTCCAAGGCTGGAGGTCCCGGGAGTGACTCTTTCATCCACAGGGTTGTTTCTTTCCTTCTGTCTCCTATATTTTATACTTGTCAATGTCATACCATTTTCTCTAGTCCTCCACATCATCCAAGCCTCTGATTTTGATATCCTGATCCTCCTCTGCATTGACAATGCCTCCTACCTCTGTCCTCAGTAGGTTTCATCAGCACAATCCCACCTTGTTTTCATGAATAACCTTGGCCCAAATCACACTGGGTCCAAGTCCGGGGCTTGAGGAGTTCTGCTAATAACTTGTCCCATTCCAGTGAGCTCCTTTTCAGTCATCATCATCATCACCATCCTTGTAGCTAGTGTCTTGCCCACTTTGAGTCGTCTTAACAATCCTCAGTTTCACTAATTGCCCAGGTGCTGCCATCTTTGGATGCTTGACTGAAGACCATGTAGATATTTCCTACGTGGTATTTAGGTAGGCATTTCCTTTGTCTGGCATCTTTGGTTTATATTCTCAAAAACTGCCATTAGGTCACTTGGACACAATAGTAAACCCACATGCGGTCTATCCCCTCTTCCATTTATCTCCATCTCTTTTAGTCTTTCCCGCAGAATTTGTTCCAAAGCCTGGCATGCTGTTGACATCAAACTAAACAGCCCTGTACTCACCTGGATTGGTTATTTGCCTCCCCTTTCTTAAAATGCACATCCTATCCATACCATTTGACACCCATAGATTTGCTGTCTGAGCATGTGTAATAGATCTACCTGCCGCTTGGTGTGCTGATGCTTTCAGAATTGTAGGGTGGGGAGCATCGAGCCAGGCCTGTTTTGAGGTCATTTCTGTACATGTGTCTGATTATCCACTCTGCCTTGGCCTCTGTGGTCAACATCGTTCACGCCAGACTGAAAACAAGCAAAGTAACACTTGCTTTTGGAGTCGTACCAAAATGATCCTTACTGTCCACCACGCCCTCGTTGCATATTTATAGTCTCATTGCTGCTTTCCGCATTCTCTCGCTTATGTAGCTGAAGAACATTTTTCTTGCGTAAACGTTCTTTGTAAGGTCAAACTCAGTTTGACATTCAGATTCATAGAAATTTAGGGCTGGAAGGGACCTCGTGAGATTGTCGAGTCCAGCCCCCCTGGTCTGGGCAGGGAAGACTGCTGGGGTCAAATAACATTGAACAGTTCTTGCTATCTTGATGCTCCCTGACCCCTTTTTTTTTTTGCTATTTGATCCTCTTTTTTTTTTTTTTTCCATCTCCACCCATTCTTTGTAAGCAGAGAGACTATTTCTGTTACCATCCTTGAAGGGGATAGTCATCCTTCAGATCACTTTCTTTGCCCCCTGCTTGGGATATAGTTTCCTGATCATTTCAGCACCTGGGACTCTTCTTAAGAGATTCCAGTTCTCATTCACCAGTTTCAAAGGCCCCAAGCGTCACAGCTCAGTTAACATCTTCAGCTGGGTCACTTCAGTAAGTTAATTCTCTTAAGTAAGTTAATTCTCTTGAAGTACAAACCTGTTGTTACAAACCTACTCTTGCTTATGCACCCATCTACATTGAAATGGAAGCAGCCTGTGAGGCTGTTTTTCTAAGATCAGCTCTTCTACCATGACTTCTGTCAGTGGCCAAATCTTGGTAGTAGTTCACTTATTTTGTGACCACATTTACCAGCATCCAGAGAAGAGCTGGGACTTGAATGTTACTAGTAAGTTTTATTCTTTTACTAGTAACTTTGGGCCTTTGATAGGAGCTAGTACCATGATGCGGAAGTCTTCAGCCTTACTTCTATTTAAAAAAAAAAAAAAATCAAACAATTGTTGCACACCTTTTAAGGGGAAGAATATAGAGGGAAAGTTAAATTCCCTCCTGCCCATTATAGAATTTTTTTTGGCGGTGGGGGGAAGGAAGAGAGAGACTATGCACCTCTGCCCCCCGCCCCCCAGTCGTTTTTTCCTAGCCAAGTTCTGTGTGCAAATAGACTGAGTTTGCTGTAAGAACCTGTGCCAGGCTTGGCATGAAGGGATTTCCTCTTTCAGAAACATCTTCTTTTGTTCTTAGTCCACAGCAGTCACGGGGGAGTTTCCCCACAGTTGCAAATGTAGTTGAATTCCAGCAGGGTCTAGGATATAGCTACAAAAAGAGGGGGTCAAAGCAGGGAGCTTTTGTCTGCAAGGCCTGAAGATTTCAGTTGTTGTCATTCTTTTGTGGCAGGGATGGCACCGTGGTCCCGCTAGGACCACCTGTGGAGACCGGAGTGGTGAACCCCCATGGCTACACCCTGAACTACAATGAATTCATCATCTATGACCCATGTCAGGTGCGCATGCGCTACCTGCTCAAGGTGCGCTTCAACTTCACGCAACTGTGGTAAGGCAGACAGTGCCCAGGCCCATCCTCCAGCATGGAGGGGTCAGGATGACAGCTGTCCCCCTGCTTTCAGCTTTCACACTGCAGAGAGGAGGACTTTCTGAATGTTTATCTGTGCTATTTTCTCACCCCAGCAGGAGGGCAACCAAAGTAAGCAAGTGGTTTTTACACCAGTAGTGGTTTATTTGCAAAGACTAGTTTCCAATCATTTCATATTTTAATAAATTTAATAGTGACAGAGCAAAGCAGCATCCTGGTTCTTAGCTGTAGGACACATCAGGTTGGTCATCCACTGTTAGCAAGAGGGGAGAGAGTATGGCAGTGCTTCACAGGGTGTTGGGGTGCCCTGGAGTCCCGCGAGATCCTTTGAAGGGTGCTGCAAGAAGTGTGAGGAGATAAGCAAATACGGGCAGGCTCAGGCTCTCCTTGCCTAGCTGCTCCCCTGTCCCCACTGCCAGGTCCCTCTTCAAGGAAGTAAGCCCTGCAGTAAATACATTTAGTTTCTCGAATGCAGTGCTGCTCCATTCACTGAAGTTGTGGAGAGGGGTCTGGAGCCCCAGGAGGGGCGCCTTGAGTTTCAGGAAGTTGAGAACCACTGGTTTGTGGCGTATGCCACAACAATGCTAGCTGTAGTCGTGAGGGGCAATGTTGCACCACAGCCTCGTCCCCCTTCCCTGCTCCGCATACTTGGAAAAAGCCCCAGAGCCCTTCTGGGAAGGCTAAGCCAGCTAAGCCTTTTGGGAACTACCCAACCCTGGGTAACCTCCCACAAGTTACATGCCAGGGTTCCTCCAACAGCTACCAGGAAGCAGGTTTCAGGTGTCAGTTGTCTAACAAGACAGGAGGGAAGTCCTCCCCGTCCTCCCCCATGGGAACCCAGGCATGTGGGCTCCGATGCCCTCTGCCCCGCATCACTAGATCTCTCTTCCTTGAGCTGGAGGAGGGAGTCCTGGTTCTCGGACCTGCTTTGTTTAATGCAGGGAAAAGGACCCAGGAGTCCAGGATCTAGCTCCTCTCCCGCTTCATAACTTACTAGACCCCATCCCCCTCCCGGTGCTGGGAATAGATCTCCGGCGTCTGGGTTCCCAGCCTCACCCCAGCTGTGACCAATACTGATACCGAGGAGCCAAGACCAGATTAAATCAGCTGCTCCTCATTTCAGTGATGGGAAATGCAGCGGTTGGGAACTCGGGGTGCTCTTAGATCCAGGCGGGGGGAATGGGCTCTAGTGGGTTAGATCCAGGCTTGAAGCCAGGAGTCCTGGGTCCTACCCTTTGACTTCTGCCTGTGTGGGCCCTGGGGCTGTGTCTGTGTCTCTTCCTCAGTCCCCTTAAAAGAACCAGGCAGGACCATGAATTGCATACCCTCTTTACTGACTTACTTTGGTACTGGCCCCACAGTGATGGGGTGGACAGACCTTGCCCCTGGACACAGCAACCTCGGTCACCCCACACCGCAGCTGATCAGGAAACATCAGGCTTCTCCCCTGCTGATCCCCCGTCTCTCCTCCTTCTCTATCAGACATACCCCAGTCCTGTGGGGCAGTGCCAGGCTGATGTCCCACACGTAAGGAAGAGTATCCATTTTGGGGGGATCTCCCTGTCATGTTGGAGACAGCCTTGTCCTGTTTGGGGGATCCAAGAGGCCTCTCAGCTCATATGATAGAGCCCCCATTATTTATTTATTTAGCGAATGCAAATCCCCGAAGCCAAGCAATAGCCTCCTTGTCAGCTGAGTTCAAAGTTATTAATCCACCTCTTAAGTACGTAGAGGGGACACTCCTCGCTGATGCGCAGCATTGCTTGCATCTCTCCATAAGTGCACAATGGGTTAGCACTGAGGCCCCAGCGGTGAAGGTTGGCTGCACAGGAGCCTCGGCCTGTCCTGAGCCTCTTTAGCAGGGACCGCTCTTGCCGTGGTAGTTCAAAGCCAGCAGGTTGACGAGTGAGGTTTGTCACAAGGCACTTGTTTGTGACTTCCCGTGAATCCCGTTGCTTAATCCAGAGAGTATCTTGCAGACAAATCCTGGTCAGGGAGCTTGCTCCATAAGGGGCATTGCGAAGGGAGGCAGGCCTTGGGTGGATTAAACAGGTGGTCGTAGAGTGGTCGGTAAGGTGCAACATGAATAGTTTTGACCAACTTGTAGTGGATCAGTGAAAGCACCCATAATGTGGGTGGACTGGACGAAAGTATCAGAGGGGCATCAGGGCCCCTCATCCTAAAGGGAGGAACTGGGGAGGCTCTTATTCCCCTTGGGGTGGTGTTGGGATCCTCCTTCGCCGTCCCTCAAGGCAGGTGGCACAGACAGGACACAGGCCCGCAGGTCTGCATAGGCCTGGGGCAGGGTGCCCAGGCTCATCCAGCGGTCCTGGCCTGGGTGGTAGCAGTGCACTAGGTGAGTGTCACGATAGGTGTTATGGCTGTACCCCCCCAGGACATACATCTCTCCCTGCAGTACAACTGAGGCAGCAACCACGTGGGCGTGGGGCAGGGGGCTCAGCAGGGTCCAGGTGTCCAGACGAGGGCTGTAGACCTCGCAGGCCAGCTGGTCAGCATAGCCCCCGTGGCCGTCCCGCCAGCGCAAGCCCCCTGCCACGTACAGCTGTCCCCGCAAAGCCTCCATGATATGGCCAGCACGCTCCTCCTGCATAGGTGCCCGCTGGGTGGGTGGGTGGTTCGGGTGGTACTGGAGCAGGGCGGTCAGGCAGCGGCAGGAGCCGTCGCAGCCGCCCGAAACGTAGATGGTGCCATCCAGCACACAGGCAGCCTGGCCGCAGAGCGCAGCCGGGAGAGGGTGGGACGGTCTGCAGAGGAGAGACCAGAACCAGGTGGGCAGGAAGGAAAGGAAAGGAAATTAAGAGAAAATTGGTCACATGTCAATGGGCTTGGCTTATGCCTGCAGCCAGCAGGCTGCCTGCCTCTGGCCTTGGCTTCTGCTCTCCCGCTTTCCCAAGGACCCCAGGCTTCATGCTAATAGGGCTACCTTGGCCTATGTCTTATGGACCTTCAGGCCTCCAGATAATAGAGCTACCTCAGTCTGTAACCTCCCAGGCCTCCAGGTCTCATCCCCGTGGACCACATACATCATGGCACAGGTAATCAGGCTTGCGTGCGTCTTAGGAGAAAAGGGACACAGGTGCCTGGAAACGCTCCCATCCCCATCTCACCTCCATGCGTTGGCAGCTGGGTTGTAGCACTCCACCGAGTCCATGCAGTATCGGTCGGCAGAGCTGCCTCCCATTGCATAGAGCAGCCCACCTGCACCCACGGCTGCAAAGTAGCTGCGTCCACAAGACATGTCTGCCAGGCGCTCCCAGGAGCCTTGCATGGGGTCAAACCTAAAGCAAGGAGAGGACTGAAACGGGCACCCCTTGCAAGGGAACAGCTGCCTCCTCATCTCGTAGGCTAACTTGTCCCTCATTGCCTGGGGACAGTATCAGGAGCAACTCCCGCTGAAAGGGGGTCTCCTTTTCCGCCACCTCCCAGCAAATCTTTGGGTCAGATGAGAGTTGGCACCCTTTGAAAGAGAAAGGGTCACCATCCTGACCCCCCCAAAGTTTAATACTGTGTCAGAATAGGTGCTCCCTGGATAGGGAAGGTCCCGTGCTCCTTTCTTTAACCCCCTGAGCCAGCCGAGTCTCCTGCCACGGGACTGGATTGGAGCCGGCACCCTCTCGAGGGCAAAGTCCCTGCGCTGTACGGACTTCCCACTCACCTGAACGCCGTGGTCAGCGTGTCCCTCACCCCATAGTACTGCTTGCCTCCAACAACATACAGCACGTTGCCCATCACGACCACGGCGTGGCGGAAGCGTGGCCCATCGGGGAACTCCCCCAGGTACCGCCACTCCACCTGCTTCACCAGCCCGATGCCACTGAGGAAGCGGTGGGCGAACCACAGCTCCCGGCTGGGGCAGCGCATGGCCATGTTTGCCGTGACGCTGTCTCCGCCGCAGATGACCAGCACCTTCTCCGTGGTGCGGATGCGGCATGGCAGCCGCTCCATAGTGGACGTGCCGGGGGGGATGCTGGCAAGCGACTCCACCAGCAGGTCGTAGAACCGGCCCGGTTTCGCCATGAAATCCACAGCACGCACCCGCTTTAACTCCCGTCCAGACATCAAGGGGAACCGAATGGATCTGAGGACTTTCTCAGCTTCCTCCAGCCGTTGGGCCCGGTCGGCATTCAGCCACCGCAGGGCACCTTCAAAGGCCTCCAGTTCATTGAGGATGTAGAGGGCGTCGGAGCGGAGGAACCGTAGAAGCTGGTCCAGAGAGAGGTCCAGGAACTTGGGGGTGGACGAGACGCAGGGAAAGTTCATCAGCACAAAGTCCTCAGCTGTCTGGACCAGCTGGCGCAGGTCATAGGCCTGGGCAAAGGATAGGACGTCTAGGCTGGTCTCTGGGGTCATTTGGTGTTGGAAGAGGTCTAGGCAGAGGGAGAAGATGCCCGATGCCTGGTACTGCAGGGCAGTCTGTGCTGCATCCAGGATCTCATCCCAGGTGCCTCCTAGTGCTCCTGAGTAGGCGAAGGAGATGAGGAGGTGGAGGTCCGGCACCGAGAAGAGGGTGCGGAGTGGGGTGGCCTGGACCGACTCCCGCATCCCGCTGGTGAACATGGCCCGGAAAAACTCGCAGCCACAGCACAGGGCCACGCGGTGCACTGCGGGGAGGAGAGAAGACGAGGGCTAGGGATGGGCGACCCCACCACAGCCGTCCTCCTAGCCCGGCTCTGGGCTCCTTCCCAAATTGCAGCTCCCCCCTCCCCAGCTCACCTTTGAAAGTCTTTCCTTGAGCTTCCAGGTCCAGGTCACAGCCAATCTTATCTCCATATAGCTTTTCAATGCTATGCAAGGTCTCCCACTGCTCATCAGATGGGGTCTTCCTTCCCTCCTCCTCCTCCTCCTCCTCCTCTTTTTCTGGACTGAGCCATCTTTGGCAAATCTCCACCACTCGTGGCACCCCCAGGACCTGCGCTGCAGCCACCACTTCCTGGACACTGTCTGATGTGGTCTCCACAACCCCTGAGTAGGCAAAATCCAGAATGGCTTTCCAGCCATGCGGCGTGGCCAGCTGGCTCATGTCAACCTCACCCACTGCCCCTTGTTCCAGCCGCTCTCGGAAGAAGGAACTCACAGCTGCCAGAACCACAGCGTGGGCATGATATGTCCATGAGCCCGAGATCACGTCCACATCCACCAGCTGGTTCTGCGCACAGAGCTCCACCGCCACCTCGAAGAACTGCCGGGCATGGTCCTCGTTCAGCAGCTCCCTGCGGGGCTCTGACGTGGCCTTCTCCTCCTCTTCCTCTGCCGGGGAATCCGGTCCCACACCTGGCCACATCCTCCCTGCCGGGAAAGGATGGGAAAGGCCCGGTGCCCTTTTCCTCGCTCTGTGAACCACAATGATAAGTAGGGTAAGAAATAGCACCCTTAGGAGCTTAAACCTGAACATCTACCGTGTGTGTGTTGTGTGTGTGGGGTCCTTGTATTATGTAGTATCGCGTAGTTTCTGAGCTAAGCGTGACATATTGTGCGAGGTATGTGTAGATCATTGCGTTTGCGGCCCGTGCGTCTATATAATCGCTGAGTTGTGTGCATATTTTTGGTGTGGTGTGTGGGCACATCTACATGTGCACTTTAATACTCATTAGTGTCTTTTAAAGCGCATTAAAGTGTCCCCCAAAAACATGCTCTTTAGCTAATGTGATTGAAATGGGCTAATTCAAATAGCCTAAAGGGCATTTTTCTAGTAGCTCACAGTGGAGGTACTAGATTTAATGCTCATCACCTGAAGAGCATTAATTGAACGTGTAGACACATCTGTGTGTATTAATGGGATCTAAATGTTTGTGGTGTGTATTTTTTGTGCAGCTATGTATAGACATGTTTATGAGTGGCCTGGATGTTTGTGGGGTGTGTATTTGTTGTGTGGTGCACGCCTGTATTTGTTGTTTTGGATATGTGTGTGTTATGATACTTTATATCCGGTCTGTACATTCAGGAGTGTGTATTTGTTGTGTGGTAAGTGTGTATATGTGATGTATGTAGTTTTGTGTGTGCGTATTAGTTATGTGGATGCATTGGGTATGTCTTCTGTGTGTGTCGTGTATAGCTTGGAGGTCGGTGGTGTGTGTGTGCATTTGTTTTTGTGCATTTCTGCTGTGCATAGTCCATACGCTCATGGCGTACGCGTTTGTTGTGTTGTACGTGCGTGCTTGGGCTGTGCGTGGCCATGTCTGTGTTGTACATATTGGTGGTGTATTCGTTTTCTGACGCTTGTGTGGGCTGGATCTGTTTGATTTTCTGGCAGATGTCCCATGCCTACGTGTTTGGGTGCATGCATTTGTGTTGTTGTATCTGTCTGGTGTGCATTGTGTGCCCCCCTGGATCCCTGCCTGCTCCCCAGGGGGCTCACACCCCACCCAAGCCCTCTCCTACCTGTGGGGCGCTTGTCGTGGGGTGACGCTGACCTTTCCAGAGGTCCTTCGGAGCCGGAGTCTGATCGGGGGAAATGTTGGATAGGCTCCCAGCTGGCTCTGCGGTTAATTATAGCTGGACGTGGGACTCCAGCCAGCCTCCCATGTACCCAAAGTCCCGAGGAGAAAATCCTCCCCTGCCCAGCCTGAGGGTTGGGAGCTGTGCTAAAGGAGAGCTGGGAAATCCTGTGGTTATTTATATATATATATATATATATATATATATATCCTGGCCCCAATAA